GCGCGAGCGGAGAGATTCGCGCTCGCGCATTATATTAATGTGCTTTCGCGCTACAATAATGTGCTCTCGGCATTTGTCATTAAAATAACGCCATAGTTTCGCTATTAGCAGAGATGCTGCTGCCGAACACTGATGAGAGACGCACAGACTCTGGTAATCTAAATTTGCTTAATCTCTCTCTCTCTCTCTCTCTCTCTCTCTCTCTCTCTCGCATTCATAACTAGATTAGAGAGTTTTAAGGACAAAAACCTGACGAATGTCTTAATGTTGTGAGGTGAGGTAATCGTAGTATAAATGGAATAATTGACTCCGGTCCGTTGAATTTTTAGAAAAGAATGCTTCGCTTTGTGGCCGCATTACCACCTTGAGTGTGCATTATTATAACAAGATAAAAACGCCAAGTTATTTCCACGTTTTTGTCAAATTACATATCACCACCTCGGGTGTGCATTATTTTCTAATAATTCAACGGCCCGTCGTCAACTTTTTTTCTTACATATCCTATGCCTAAAAGCTTCAGGTCTTAGATGTGGCTGAGTGGATTAGCAAAATTAACTATTAAAACATGGATCATGTCACAACACGCCGTATTGCGATATTGCCTGCGATAAAGCTTGACCTTATTGGGTCCCTTAATTCTAGTAAATGGGTTTCATCGCAATCAGTAAGTTGTTTTCGGCTGTATTAAACTGAAAGAATCTCAGGATGTTATTGTTTTTCGAGAGTGTTAAATGCATCTCTCCAACACTTTCATAGCATCTATAGCCTGTTAGTGCTGCAGGGAAACAGTATCCAATTTCACACAGAGATTCCAGAAAATACACGGATAATGTGTCCCGTGATTTGTCTCGGGATTGTTTGATTGTGGTTCATTCACACTGCTACACTGCTATCTATAATAGAGAACATTATATATAGATCAGTGCGTGTACTGTTCCACTAACTGGCGAATGATCTCAGCTTCAGCGCGGATAGTGAGGAGCTCCCTAATCTCTGCTTCATTCCAGTTCGCACATATTTTTTCATCCTGAACTTTGGCCTTTAAAACACCCGATAAAAGAGTCACACGATAACGTGCGCCATCACTACGACACACCCTTTACAGGATATATATATATATATCCTTTTGACAGGATATAACAGTATGTATCCAATAACTCAGTTACATAAATTAGTTACATAAATTCAAGTAGGCTACACAACCTCTAATGTATACAGTAAATGAACTGCACAGAGGACATGATGTTTCGATATTCCTAAAAACATAATTTAACCTTATTACAACCAGCGTGTGCAAACCTGTCTTAAAACACATGCATTACAGTTCTTTGAAGAAGACTGCAGTTAGTTGCCTGAGGAGCGAGCTCTATTGTAAATAAAAATGTTATTGTGTGCGCTGGCGCCAGCACTTTAGTCAGCAGGTGTGTCTGTGAATAGACAAAGATGTGTTTGAGGTGGGTTGGTGGACAGATGCAGGTGGGATGCCACAAAAACTGTACAATTATACAATATTGCAATGAATATTTGGCTTTGCTCTGTCCCAACGGGTTTTTATACGCCGAATGTTCGGCCCTCCGAGTGGCAACGGCATCAAGCATCATTAGAAGGTGTTGGGTTCATTTCATTGAGAGCTCACACCAGATCATTCCAAATCGTCTTCCAAGTATAAAAAGCATAAAGACTTGAAAGTATAAAATAATGCAACAAAAATGATAATTCTGTAATGAAGATTATGATACATTCTTCTCCCATTTTATTCAGGTGACGTTGAAGTGCATTTAAAAAGGCAGTTTGTTAGAGCTATTTCTTGAGTAGTTTGGAGTTGGCATTTTAAGTAGCTGACAATGAGGCATAGCAATGACCTTCAAAATGGACTGCATCCAAAAAGGCATTTAAAGCAATTGTTCATCTTTTTGCACCTTAGATAAATATTGCTTTTCATTTATAAAGCTAATATAAAAGCTTGAACATTTTAGCATTAATATGTAATTTTTCTAGTGTAAAATGGTGCTAATTTCTTTTCTGTATATTTTGCATATTTGTTGTGCTGAATATTAAGAGAGTCTTGTGTTAATCAGAGTTCTATTTTTTTGTCAGTGTTAAGTGTGGCATACTGTGTTGTATTATAGTAACAGTAGGATTTTTTTCTAGTTTGTGAAGATGAACGTGTTCTTATTCAATAAATCAGGAACAGTATTTTGGGGGGAAATGCAATGATGCTATTATTGTCAGTGTTGTTTTGTTAAGTATATTTCAAATAAATTGTTTTTCTACTTTTTTCATTGAGCTAATGTCACATTTATTTTGTTGATTTAGTTTGCATCAGTACATAGGTGTCACAAATGCAATGTGTAACACATGCATTAAAACAATTATTTGGGTAATAACAATTTTTCTGAAATAAAAGGTTGACCTTCAACATTTTATATATCAAACTGAAAAATGCACAAGCTTCACTGAAAGAAAAACTCATACTAAGATGTATTCATTTGTAAACACAGAAAGTTTGTACAAACCCGATTCCAAAAAAGTTGGGACACTGTACAAATTGTGAATAAAAACAGAATGCAATGATGTGGAAGTTTCAAATTTCAATATTTTATTCAGAATACAACATAGATGAATTTGTACAGTGTCCCAACTTTTTTGGAATCGGGTTTGTATTTAGCAGCATATTTGCTGAAACTTTGAGTAATTTGAGTAATTTGAGTCTTTTTTTTC